ATTCGTGGGTGGATCGAGAATGCATAAAGGTAGACGAGGGGATGAAACCGAGAGGAAACACGGGACGCAACCGCGAAATCGGGCCGAGCCGTGAAAATAACGATTTCTCTTTTGTGATGTTCTCCGTGTACGTTAAAGCGAGAAGGGCCGGTTTCAGTAGGAGGAATTCATCATGGGCCCGCGTGACTCGTCGATATTTTTCCCGGCATGCCTCGAGGATCGATATTTTATGTAGATCGCGCGGAAAGGGCAGCACGCCCTCGTCGTCGGTGGCTATTCTCGCCTTGACGAACAAAAACATCCTGAATCAGAGAATGAGCGGAAGAACGAGAGAGAAAGAGAGGAGAGACAGGGAGAGGGGGGAAGCTCTGGAAGAGGAGAGATGAAGAGAAAGAGGCCGCCGGTTAGGATGGGATCCTGGTTGCTGTGGTCAGAATTCATCCAGAAAATGGAACTTTTTCATAACGATTCCTCGCTTGCGATCAGAGAAAGCGTCTGTCGCTATTCATCGGCCGAGTCCGTCAATTTAGATAGGAATGTATACGCTACTGTTCGGTGAAATCGGAAACACATTTTAAGGGAATATACATTACTGATTTTGCGAGATTGATTATGTATTCGATCTAAAATAAATGAATCTGTCTTGAAGTTTTTTTTTTAACTAAATTTAGGAAATTTGTCGCATGTTTTCCGGAAAAATAACGACTTAATTAATTTATTCAATTATTCATGGAAATATAGTATTGCTTTTATTTGAGAACACTAGAAGGTAACATTAATAAACTCTAAAGAATCGGATTAGTGTTTGAAGAACCTTATATTAGCGTAAATATTAGTTAATCAATACCAATTTGATATTAACCAAAACAATGTCAATTAATTGTTAGAAAAGGATGCGACATTCTCGTACAGTGTCGTCAAATTAATCATAAAGAGTCCAAGAAGTCCAAGGAGTAAGAGCAGATCTCATCAAAAATCGCATGATCCTCAGTAGCCGGTCTTCAGGTGCACCATTGTGCTACGCTTTATCACCTGACGGACGTGACTCGCACACTCCTGCTGATCCTGGACGGTGCTCGAGCGCTCGGGTCGTCGGCCACATAGTTTTCGCCGTGGGTCACGCGAAGAAGAGTCGTGCTGGAGGTAGAAGGCGAAGGTCGCCGCTGCGGCCTCGCATGCCCGACCTCTCGTAGGAATAGCACGTACACAAGGGCTGCATCCAGCTGTACTGTTCCCCCACCAACGACACTGCCGTTACTTGCATTCGTGCGACTTTCGACGATGGTGTTTTCGTCGTGAGTGTGCGTGGGTGATGGATAGACGGTTACCGTGTCACTCGCGCGGAGCGCTAAACGGACTTGAATGGCTCGAAATTGCATGGGCGACTGCATTGTGCCCGCGTCGATGCACAATGGGCGACCGCGCGATGCGCACATCGGTGTATGCGTGAGCCGATGTATGCAGATGCGGCACAAAGAGACGTCGAGGATCCATCGGGAGATAACGATCTTCCAGATGAGCGACATTCCTTCGTACGACTCGATATCGAGTCGACTACGCTCGAGATTGGCGGGTGAATTGCGTTCAATGTACGGCGTCTTTCATCCGATCGTAAGGATGAATTTGCTGGTATTTTGAAACTAATAGCGAGGTAGTTATGCGGGGTGCAATTAAAACAGATGGTTAATCTCGAAGAGCGTATTCTGTGCATCTCAAGAATGACAAAAAGTCGACACAAATATGTGGATTTAAACATTTTTTAAATAATTTTTAACTTTTTCATATATGAATCCCATTTATACTTCATATCTAAGAATTTGTTCTTTGTTAGCACAATAATTTGTGTGTGGAACTTTGCAGGGATAGGTAAAAAATCCGTTAACGTTCATCCACGTCGTATCTCTCCTCTCGTCCATCTTTCTCTTTTATGAGGCTCGTAGAGTCTCGTGGATGCGCCGTATACTCTAAAAAAATCTATCGCGACGTTCGTTGGTTTTTCTTTAAACCGTCACCCGTGATTCGTCGAGAGCGAAGCGTCGGTTACTCGCGAACTTGCTGGAAAAAAACGGAAAAAAACCGTCGTTTCTCACGTCTCAGTTTGCGTCTGTGTGCGACTACTATACATGTGTCTAACGCAAAGAAAGATCACCGGTAGTTTCATCCGCAAATTTCTCTCTCTCTCTCTCTCTCTCTCTCTCTCTCTCTCTCTTCTTTCGCACTATCAAAAAGTACTACGCACCTGGTATAACGTCATTTTTAACACCTCGTTCACGGTAACGCACAAAGCGGAGCAAGGGGTAAAGTTGAAACCGGTAGAAATCACCCCAAAATTCCTAGACCCCTTCGCCTACCCCTACTACTATACGTCGTCTCTCTCCCGTTCTCTGCGAGAAGTTTTCTTGGGGGCCCGCAGATTCTCACGGAAAAAAGTGTAATTTCCGACGAAAAAAGGGAGGGACGATGCAAATTCGTGGATGAAAAGGGAAAGCCGCGTGTGAGCTACGTATGTACCTGCCACAACGTCTCGCGTGATGCAAAGGACGAGAGCACGGGAAGTAATAGGTCGCGCGATCGAAGGTAGAAGGGTCCGGGATGCACGTGAGGGGAAGAGGACGCGAGGCGAAATTTTATATGGAATCCACACCAATACTTCGCGCTCGCTGCAGCTTCCTGGAGGCATCCTACCTGACCTGTTGAGTCTTTTTTTCTCCACTTTTTTTACGATTTCAGGAGAATCCTCCCGTCAGGTAACGCAGATGGAAAGGCAGAAATCGGGTCGGGTCCCCGGCAAGCAACATGACGCAGGATTCACAGGATTTTGAATTCCTTCTTCTCTTCTCCCCGCTCCAATCGCATCGGTAACGATCATTCTCGTGCCGGTAGCACCTCCGCGAACCTCGAGGTATCGTACCCCACCTGCGTCCGCGGCGAGCGTTTTTACAAGGCTCTTGCGAGCGTTTATCTCCATTTTCGACTTCTCTCTTGCTCTTTTATCCCGGAATCGGGAGTCGATGGGAAAGCACCATGAGAGCGCCTCCAAATGGCTAAGCGACTTCCACTTTTTAACGTCGCTGACCCTTGTCCTCTCTGACTTTGGCCTTCGCGGTTTTCGATTTTCCCACAAAAATACGAGGAAACGGTTTTCTTCTTGTGTCTTCAGTCGTGGCTGATTGCTCGCTTTTATTTTCGTATTTTCCCATTGTTGCAAAAGGCAATTAAGGTCCGGAGCGCGTGTAAGTAGTTGTTGAAATCATTTCGATGTGTTAATTCTATTTATTCTTGTAACATTATTGGTGTTACGATATACAATTGTCTGATTATTAGTTTCAAATCTACAGAAACGACAATTGTTTAGTAAAGATTGCATTTTCTCACGCCAGTATATCTACATGTACGGTCAACATATAGCTGATATACGTTACGTAGAAGTTATATAGAACTTTTTTATGATCAGTTAACCGACATCTGCAGCAAATGTCTACAGAGAAAGAATCTCAACCCCTAATAGTCTAGCTAGGTGTGAGAATTCTTGTTACTTCAACGTATTCGTGCACAACTACATAAAATCATGTCACAATATACTTGGCTAGGTGTACAAATCTGTGATCAGTTAACGGACAAATCGGACAAAAAAATCCCAAGCTCCAGCATTTTCGATAACGTACGAGAACTCTTATTGCTCCGATAGAGCCTCGGACGCGCGTGCACGCCCGACATACGTCGGGCATCATAAATTCCCCTTCCAAGTAGCGCGGCGTATCGAAATAATTATAAAAAAATCGTGCGGACCAATCGCGGCGCGTAAGCCCGTTTTCTCGAATCAGCGAATCGGTTCCGTGCCATTATCCAACAACCCCGGTGCGAGCGAGACGAAGGAGGTTCGATAAAGGGGTGGCGAGGGAGAGAGAGCAGTCATAAGATACGATGATGGATGCTCGCGAAGGGTTGCTGCCACCGAGTAAAGGGAGAGGGCATTTTGAAAGGGCAAAGGGTTCTCCTCGACCAATCGGCCCAACGTAAGCGACGAGCCCGACCAATCCCTGAGGCCCAACCGGGCCACATAGTAGAGGGGAGGGTTGGTGCCCCATCTTTAGGGGCACGGTTTCGTTGCGTCATTCTAACATTCGCTCTGTATCGGTTCGTTGGCAAGGATCGCTGCGGCGGTGACCTTCAGAACACGGGACGACCTCGGGCAATCCCACTTTGGGATTGCTGTTTCGATAGATCGCGAAATCGCACTTGTGTTAATATCAATGAAGTGTTAACGAGCGTCAATTAATCTCGCAAACGTGTCTATAATCTTCGAGAACGTAACTCGCTATCGCGCTCGATCGGCGGTTGATTTCGCTCGGTGAAGAAAGTGGAAGGCCGTCGCGTTTTTCTCACCGAAGTGTCTGGTTTCTTCGAGCGCCATGTCCTCCGAAGCGGGATGAAATCGCGCCGATCGATAGACCGACGTAGGATCGCCGAGCGCGATCCTTTTTGCTTTCGTGCGAGAAATCGATTATCGTGCTGGAGCTCGAGAGGCGTCCCGATGTGAGGACGGCGTACAGAGGAGACGGAGTTAAGATGGTCTTCCTGGAGAACTCCAGGATGATCCTCGCGGACATGCGTCTTCATGCCACCAGCACGCCGACCACCACCCCCACGCGCTACCATCACCATCACCATCAGAAGTATAGAGCGCAGAACAACAATGATTGTATGGCGACAACGCGATCTTATTTTAAAATAAATCCATTATTAACTAAATAGGAAATTCTAATGTATTTAAAACTTGCATTATACCTAAAAATATTATACACACAATTAATGGTCAATCTATCATTTTGAAAATATGAAAAACGTGGAAATATCGTGTGCTTAGGTAGAGGATGTTATTTATATTTAGCGTGTTATTTTTATATTGAGAATTTTATATATATATTTATATAGAGAATGATATTTGTTACAAACAATATTAGAATAGTTCTTTGAAAAATGTCATTTACTTTTTGCAGATGCGGATATACACGGCGAAGTCGATGGCCCAGAGCTCAGTGGTGATGATAGGAGTATCGCAAGTGACATCCAAGACGCCACTGAGGAGCACCTCGATAATGACTCTATGGGATCAGACAGGGAGGCTCTCAACCTGGTAAATAAATCTTTTTCTAACGTCACTTTTCTTCCTCCTCTATTTATTCTGCACTTTATATGTAACTATTCTTATATAATCACTATTATTTCTTTGTAACTATTTTTATATGATCACTTAAAACTGAAATTTCGTTAACAAGTCTTGTGTGAAAATCTTGGTTTTCTATTTTATCATTTTCATGTTTTACTATAACTGTGATTAATCAAATACGTTACGCGTAAACGCGAAATTGATGCGTGAGCGGCAGGAAAGTATCGATAGCAGTACTTTATTATGTGTGTACACAATTTGGCATAATAGTCTTAACACTTACTAGATTTTGTTTCAAACGAATTTCTTAATTATATACAATATATCTACATATTAGTGCATCATAACTATTGATTGTTTCGAGAAAGCGATTCGCTTCCTCGAATAAAGAAAGGAATAGTTAACATAATGTATAAATATATACACGTAATTGCGCGTAATCGAGAACTTCGTTTGGAACTAGACCTAGTAAATGTTAAGGCTATTATGCTGAACAGTGTACCGTGTGTTAATGATCATAAAGAAGCGCTCGAAGAGTGCTGAAAAGAGGCGCGGCTTTTACTGCCGCGAACAGGATTTACGCGAGTATAACTCGCCAATAATTTTCCACGCCATCTTGCGTGCACGAGGTTACAAGTATTTGGATAATACATGCGAAATTAGTTGTTCTTCTTCGTGTCGAAGTTCATATATCAACGGTTTTATTAATATCAATGTTCGACATAATATGTGCTTTCAAAATTAATAACGTACGACGAAGGTCTAATGAATAATTACGTTACGTTGTCGTTATAGTGTGAAATTGAAAAAGAATGCATCTCAATAGGCTAATGTTAAAACATCTCGTTTATTTTATTAAATATTAACATAAAATCATTACAAGTGTTAAATTTATTATACATAATGTACGTCTGTGTGTCAGTCAAAATTATATAATTGAATATTCCGTCCAAGAAGAAATTTTTTTATTTAGCTCCATTTAAGAAATAGCATCTATAATATTTTTGCAAGATTCTTCTTTAATTGCTTGATACCGTGTTATATCTGCGTTATCATTAACAATCAAATATATTCTTGTATTTAACTTGTCAAAAACGTTTGACGTAAGGCGAGTTTCTTCAGTGATTTACTTTCAATGGCATTTCTTCACTTATTTTGACGAAAGCATGCTTTGTCATGTCACTCATTGTGTCCGCGCTGCTTGTACGCGTTACTTAAATATATCAACGGTACCAATCCCATTTGCGAGCGTAATATCCGGCATGCTTTCTATCGAGACGAACGTCCTCGAGCAGCACGGTCGTGTCTTCGATTTTTTTTCTTACGGGATGCTCTTGACGGGCGTAAAAAGAGCTCGCGATCAATATTTGACAAATAAATAAAGGAAGCCACTAGCAGAGATGGACGACAGGAAAATACGAGAGAGGAAGAGAGAGGAGAACGAGACGTAGGGAGTAGGTTTTATAAAACACAAAGGATGGACCGTATAGTGACCAATATCCTGACCTGGCCGAATGTAAACATGGCTTTGTTCGACGGCGAATTTACTCTGTAATATTAGGGAGGGTGGCTCGCTCCTCACGTAGCCCGACTGATTCTTCGTGTTCCTAGTCCCACGTTAAAGCGTGAAATCTCGTAGTCCACATTTCGGAGTCGAAGGCAGCCGCATGATAATCTCGGGCGATAAAATTTTCAGTCATACAAAAATAAAGATTGTCGGCATATTCTTTGCGAATAAAATGATAGCGCATTGCAACATTGTAATTTTTTGATATGATAGTAATTACGGAATAACATTTGACATGACTGGTTTAAAATTATTACTGCAGCTATTTCTATTCAAGCAATTGGCCGCAAAATTTATAAGTTTATCCGTAGATATGTAGGTAAAGTAAGATAGATCACTCATTCCTGAAAGTGATTGGAAATATTGAGTTATTTTCCCATCTTATTACACTTGTACACGGCGAAATGAATAGTGTCCTACATTTTCAAACATAAATAATACTGATCATTAAACCGACGGCCAATAGAATAATCCAGTGCCACTTAAAGCTAGTTGTGTTTCCTTATCTCGTTTATACAGCAAATCCTCCATTTAAATATTTTGCATATTTTATGCTGTAAATCGTAAAACGATCCAGTGTAAAATATACGAATATTATAAATAATAATTTTTATTTTTGAAAGAATTTCTAGAATTATACACTTCTAAATCATTATGACTGTGATTTATAATCTTTCAAAAAATTTTGGTGTATAAAATAGATAGAAAAAAATTACAAAACTTACTAATAAAATATCTGAAAGAAATTTGGAACCTCGGAGCGATATTACTAAAAGCGCTGTTAATAGTTGAACCAACATCGACGATAGATGAGCTAATCAATAATGCAAGTATCTACAACGCGAAAGAAATTAACTGCCACTTGTGTATAAAATAGCATATTATATTATATTATAAAATTTTGCAAACATAAGAGAGAAGTGAAAAAATATATTAAAATGAAAAAATAGAGGACGTAAAATGTGCTCTCTTTTCGTCGCGGAATGTATCATTTCATTGTCCGTGAAAGCGATTCATTATGATTTTTTTAGTAATTATTGAAAGATATATTTCTAGAATTGTAAATTTGTAAAGTCAATTAGGGCAAATAATGAGAGTTTTGTAATATCGGTTATTAATATATTCATAACGACTTTGTATTATACATTTTCAAGTAAATTTAATAAGTAAGTTAGTTGGACTGGTTTAAAAGCATAAAGATCGTCATAAAAATTATATTAAAAACAATGTAATGTACACACAAATTTGACGTCGTTCTTCTAGGTCACAGATGTATCGCATCGAAACAGTAGTAGCGGTACTAGCGGCAGTGCGTCCTCACCGAGTTCGGGAGTTAGCAGCCAGCTGACCGGCAGTCATCAGCAACAGCAACAACAGCAACACACGTCCAGTCAACAGAACAACAGTAATTCGCAAGCCGCACTAGCCGCTCAACTGGTCAGCCAGCAGTTATTAATACATGGCTCTCTCCCATTGGGACCCCAGGAAATCCAAGCGCTTGCCACGACGATACAACAACAGCAACAGTCGTTACAGCAACAATTGCAACAATTTGCCATGTTCCAGCAGGCCAATCCAGCTGCGGGACAACTTCCGGCGCAGGCACAGTTCTTCCTCCAGAATCAGGTGGGTGCATGGATCCATCACTCCTCGTTCTACGTTTAGAACAAGTTCAGAGGACGACTTTGGAAACAATACTATTGCAATGGCAATGTTAACTGATAGTTCGGTTAGTCTCGAAGCGTTCGTTCAGTATCCCCGATCTTCGTGTTATTGCCCCATCGACTGCTCTCTAACTACTCTGCCGAATTACGTACCTGCTCGACGCGAATTGCCGATTCGTGCCGTCGCGATTTCGTCGACGGATTCGGGATGGATCGCCGCGGGCCCAAAGCGGCGACGTTCGGTCGGCATTATCTGATCGGGCACAGGGCGAGAGCGAACGTCTTATTCTTCGTGGACGGCACTCTCGCGATCGACGTCGAGATAGCCGTCTGGCGACGGCACAAAGGAGACCGGGGTGTTGCCTCCTCGTTTAGGCTCGCCCTCGCCGATGCAACGCGCACGGGCAGTGCAAACTTGCAACCGCATCACGGCCGAATTTAGCGCGCTCCATTATGCCGTATTAAAGCCTTTGGGAGTAGTGGTGGAACTAGTCTCGGTGTGACTTTTGACTGGTTGTACCTATCAGTCACAGATTCTTGTGCATTCTTATTGTTACACGTCTCTCTGATGAAAAAGGTGTGATCCACTGCAAATGCAAATGCAACGAAGAAATCTTGATTGTAAGATTCGACGTGAAAAGATTGTAAGGTTCGACGCGAATGGAAAAGATGCCACCGGAAAATCTGGACCTTGAAATATTCTATTCTGATATCAAAGTTACAACGCGATTAGCTATAAATTACAATGCATATAACGCATTGTCCTTTATTTTTCCAGGAAATACTATTATGACACAGATAATAGGGAACATTAAGAATGCATACGAAATGGACGGTATATCCGGAAAACGCATACAAAGAGATTTCCCGATTTTCCTCGATAGATATCACGTTCCGAGCGTCTTTTAAAATGCGGCCGACGATCGCCGACATAGAGAAGCGACATATTTATCACGTTTCGCAGCATGCGTTCCTTTGATCAAAGGAGCGTTCCACGATTTTCTCACTATTTGTTCGGCGGATCCTTCGGATCGACAGAGGGAGGAATCGATCCACGATATCCGGGGATACGTTGAAAAACGACCCTCTTTCCTGTGATGCGCCCTCGTCGTCTCTCGGCCGCGCGACCTCTCGTCCGTCTCTCCTCGCGCAACCTGAATGGACGCGAGGATTTGCGTTTACGAAAAAATCCCTATAGAATCCGTCACGACGTGCGCATGCAACTATAGTCTCCGGGAAAAACCAACAAAACGACTTCGAGCTTTAGCGCACTTAATGGGCATCCGCGTCCTCCGTGTGTATTTATTGTGCACGCACACATATCACACACGCGTATCCGTGCGGTCTATGGGCCCCTAGATATTCCTTGTCTATCGGAAGGTACCGTACGATGCCACAAGGTGGGCCCAGGGCTCTTCGGCACCTTGCCACAGGGTGCCTTTGTTACCTCACACGTGGCCAGGATGTTTCCTTTTTTTCATCCCGCTCTTTCCCTTCCAGAGCTGCGGGAGGATTCTTCATGGGCTCCTCTTTTTTTTCTTATTCGCGCGGGGTATTAAGAGGGGCACACGCGACCTTCTTCACTTGGGAAACCCTTCCGCCTAGTACAACCTGCCCCTCAACCCCTTTTGCGGGCGTTACGTGTGCGCGCCACGTGAGGACTTTTGTGGTTTATCTGCCGCAACAGACGTTCAGTTTCTTCAGACGGTGATCACCCTTCGTGGACCCTTTGTGTCTTGGTCGATCACCATGACAGAGATGTATGATAGTATCATTTAACATACAATCTTTCCCCCTTTTTAGATCAAAATAATTGTGAAGTAATTTGGATAATTGTAGTATCTTTCTCTTTCTCTCTTGAAATTTTAGTTGTTGAAAGGTTATTAGTACGATTCAAAGAAATGATTGTAATTTATTCTCAAAATTTCTCTAATTTTCCTTATTATTTAGCATAATAACAATTTTTAAAACACGAAAAAAAATTGGTATTCGACGTTGGATTATACAATAAATGTCATAGACTATTTTGAATAAATTTAGTAAAATAAAACACTTTATCTATTACATATTGTTTACTAAGCACACTTATTCAAGTTTTGTGAATAATAAATGAAAAGTTTAGAGGCACTTTATTGATCATTACATTGAATTTTATTCAGTATTTTTGCAAATATTAGTAAATTGTCATTCTATTTATTGAACATTATAAGATCAGCGGCTTGTGTTAGATGAATACCTTAAAATCGTAGACGATAAACCTGTCGCGTTTGATCCCGCACGTGGCTCAACTCGAGGCGTTTCCGTAGGGTGTCTTCGCGGTCACAATGCGCATAAACTAGCTGCTCGCATGTCGGCGACACGCGACCAACCCCGAACCCTTTCCGATCCGGGATACCGTGCCCAACATGAACCCCTTATTCTCGTAATCGAGCGTCATGGTTAAGAAAGGGTGAAGATAATCGATCGGATAGATTCAACCCTTAGAATCATACTTTTCATACCTGTGCATACACAAATCCGACACGTGCCGCGCGATACATCGCTCCGTAAAACATTGATTGTAAGACATCTATCTTCATTCGTAACTGACAGGTGCAAAATTCAGCGCCTAACTGCGTTTTTTCTAAAGATTCAATGAATTGTAAAATCGCAATCTGAATGACAAAATGCTTTTTAAAAGCGCTGCCCAAACGTGATGCTCATAACATAATTATTTTGCAACGTCAAATTTCGATTGCGAATAGAGTTGGAAGTTAGATGACCATTACGTTAATTTTCACCAATGGTCATCAACGTCTTGCAGGGGCTGTTGCAGAGCGGTGGCTACCCAACAAGATCGAGTCATCCGCGCTCACAGTCCATGCAGGTACGATTTAGGGCAAAGTTGCGTTCAGACGTTGTCAGCTGCGAAGATAAATCGCAATGCATACTTTGAGACCAAAGTCCCTGAAAGTGATAAACTTCTAATGTTTCGATCACTATAATTACTGTAATTTTATGATTCTACACCTTCTGAAGTTTATCATTTAATATAATTAACTTAAACACATTCTCTTTGTGCAAAGTATATAATTCTAAAGAAGATGTTAATTTTTTATTAGGTACAACAAGCAGTAGCGCAGGCAGCCCAGCAGTTGCAAGCGCTACAGAAGCAGCAAGCTCTTCAAAGTAGTGGCAGTTTAGTTGGGCGAACCTTGGCGCAGCAAAGAACACCGCCACCGTCCGGTACCCCACCAGCGGTAAAAGCTCCACCAGCAAGACTAGACCCTTCCCCGGATGAAACAACGGATCTTGAAGAGTTAGAACAGTTTGCCAAGACATTCAAACAGAGGCGAATCAAGCTCGGTTTCACTCAAGGAGATGTAGGACTCGCTATGGGAAAACTCTACGGCAATGATTTTTCTCAAACTACCATCTCTAGGTGACTATGTCCTGAATTTAAATCACTATTTAATTTGATTGAATATTTTTATTGTCTTTAGACTCACGTGATATTGTGTGTTTTGAGTTATTACATTTACATACATACATACATATATATACATACATGTATAATATATATATATATATATATATATATATATAATAGAGAAATAAAAAAATATTAGCTGAATATACATGTGAACTATTCTAAATTTAATTGAGTAATATTATTGGGACTGTATATTTAATGATTTATAATAGTTTTATTTAAACCTAATAAGATATGGGTGATTCTTCGCATTCTAGGTTCGAGGCGTTGAATCTTTCTTTCAAGAATATGTGCAAATTGAAGCCACTATTGCAAAAGTGGTTGGAAGATGCCGATAATTCCCTGAACAATCCCAATTCTCTGACGAATCCACTTACGACACCGGAAGCAATTGGCAGGCGGCGGAAGAAAAGGACATCAATAGAAACGAGTGTGAGAGTGGCGCTGGAGAAAGCCTTTATCCAAAATCCAAAACCCACATCTGAAGAAATAACTTTACTAGCGGATAGCCTCGCAATGGAGAAGGAGGTGGTTCGCGTTTGGTTCTGTAATCGGTAAGTATTGAACTATATGCACATTTATGGAACAATTTCTATTCCTTTTCTCCGTATTTGATATCCTAATGATTTCCTAATGATTTAATTTTGCATCATTATTTTCCATTTGTCTTCCGTTGTCTTTAAATAATGTATAATTACTTTTCAGAAGGCAAAAGGAGAAGAGAATCAATCCTCCAACGGCAGCAATGGGAAGTCCAACTTTAGCGTCGCCTGCGCCCTCGGTGTTCGCCTCTCTTGCTGGTTCCATGTCCGGCTCACCTCTCGCTCTTACGACACATTCTTCCGGCGTAGGTCATTCACATTCTCACCAGGCACCTTTGGGCTCGCCTTTGCCCTTGGCTCTGGTAGCTTCGGGAGGTGGAAACTACCATCCATTGAGCGGCAAGTCTCATGAGTGACACCAGCAAGCGACCCATCAAGGGGACGCTCTCTATCATCAGCACCATCATCAACAGCAGCAGCAGCAGCAGCACCACCACCATCATCACCACCATCATCAGCAACAACAACGACGCTTGTGCAATCTACCAGAGTTCTATCATTAGCCGATGATCCGATCTCACGAAGCAGTTAATCGAAATAACATGTGGCATGTTAGTTTGAGGTAATGTACTTCAGCAAGAGATCACGATCATCGGTAGTATATGGGATCTGGTACCGAACGGATGTATAGCACAAGCAATGAGGAATTCTCATTGATTACATTATTACGACACGTTCGATACATCACGATACATGACGATACGCGACGATATATCAAGGTGACGCCTTGCGAACTAAAATAATACAAGAAGAAAGTTTGAGGTAGAAATAATCGATTTTTGTGGATAGAAGCGAGTAAAGGATGAGAGTATAAGTGCATCATTAATGAATCCTCTGAACATGGTATAACTTCTACCGAATCTACTGAAGAGTATACGAAGACACGCTGCGTTTTGAAGAGAAAACGAGTGGTACATGAAATTCTAGCATAATAAAAACAAAATCTTTTTATTGATAACATGTTTTCAATTGGCAACTATTAGCGATGGTTATTGCCGATATAGTCGTGGTACATGCCAATTATATGAGAAAAGTATCAGTAAAGTTATTTTAGTTGCAAAAAGTTCTTGTGAGTAGTGTGAGTAATGTCAGATTTTGTGATTCGACTCGAGTCTTTTAACAAATCTTACATCTTTCCTTTAATCGCAACGGTGTTCGTCAAATTATGTCAAATTAAAACACGTATTTTTACGAACATCTTTCTAATAATAGAGAAAAAATATATAATTCTATATAATTGCACAAAATTATTTTGTGATATTATATAGAATATTTTCTTGCAGTATCTTTTACATTTCGTAATATTTTTTTACAAGACCGTTTTATATCATGTTTTTGTTATGTTTTAAAAATGACAATTATTTATGTTTACGATCGTCACTTGGATCTTTTTTTTAATTATTTCATTGACTAAATCATTTCTGACTGAAGATGATATTTGTAAAAGTATATCTACATTAAAATCTGAAAATTCTTTATGTATAAAATCGGCTATAATGGTTGGCTCAAAGAAAAGCACATTTAACATAGTTTGAAAACTGTATTACCATTCCTTATAAAATGTAATGTTATTTGATAAAACAAGAATACTTAGCGACCGGTGTTCAACATATTATGCTGAGAACTTTCCAAAAAGCATGATCAAAGTCAGCTTTTCCTATTTGATTTCAATCTGATCTTTAGAAACACAATATACTTTGTAAAATTACGACGAATGAGCAACATTTACATGGCAACATTCATACGATTAAAGCCAGTCAAGTAAGTTTAGTAAAAAAAGAAATATGAACATCTAACGCACGTTTTCTTTTCTTATCCAGTAATTTTCGAGAATATCTTCTTCGGCGACGCTCTTGGCGTCTCCGTGGTAAGCAGGGTTACAGCAATGCATCTCAATGGCAAAATGCGGCGAGGTCCGACAATACAATTGTACATATACACACGTAGGCGTGTCTGTCACATTATCGTACATATCCGTGTCACAGGGCTGTATATATGTGAGTTAACACCACCGAAGACTGTCGAGAATGCGAGGCGACTCTCGTATCTTGCTGTTGAGTGAGTCGCGTGATATTCCCACGTAGTGCTGAGCTAATCACGATTGATACGCGCGACGTCATAATTCATGCCAAAGTATATTGTTGTGAGGTACATTAAGTATTATATATAGTTGTGTGTATATTCGAGAACGGTGGTATCTCGTAGACATTTCGGAGGCAACGTGTCGCAACGTCGCGAGCAAGAGTACTCGCATTCTTGATAAAAAATTTGTTTCGACAGTCGTGAGTGATAGTTAATAATATTGTAGATAACGGCAATGAGGTAATACGTAACATGTATATACGGTATACGCACTACACCTGCGAATATACGCTATACATATGTATATAGCGTACGTACAATTTATGTATATCTGTGCATCGAGATTGACGAATTCCGAATTGAAGGATTCCAGAATTCAGGACAAATTTTTAAGAAAGACTCCTTCTTTTTTATAAATTACGCAACAGCGTACAAATAATGTATTTTAATCGAAAAAATAAATTTGGAAATTATATATTGCTGTGTATGAACATTTCTTTTTGCATGTATGCTGAGTAAAACTCTCGTCGCGCTCCGCTGTGACTGTCAATTTACGCTCGCTGGAGTCGGTCATAGCGGAGAAATCTCGATGGTAACTAAGGGCTATGATATAGCGAGAAAACGAACGTGATATATATATATACCGATTGTATGCTTATTTCCTAAGAGCCATGCGTGTGTATAGATTTCATTATCAACGTGCAGAATTTGCGTGAATGTATACATATAGCGATTATATTGTAATATCAAATAAGTACCGACTGTACCATCGTATATACGCGAATATGTATC